ACTCGAAAAGCATCGCAATCATTGCTAGAGTCAAATCAGATATGCCTTGTGGGTTAACTAGGTAATTCCTGTTTGTAAACCTTGCAAAACACATGAAGGAGCCAGCTGGTTTTGGATCCTGGTCAACTAGTTGTTTTCAGAATAGTTTAGACAAAACCCTAACCCAAATTTGCATCAAGGGTGTAACAACTGCTTTTTGTGTCCCTCCTCTCCCCCGCGACCCCAGTACGCTCTGGAGCGTTTAAAGGTCATGTGTGAGGAGGCCTTGTGCAACAGCCTTTCAGTGGAGAACGTGGCCGACACCCTCATCCTCGCAGACTTGCACAGTGCCGAGCAGCTCAAAGCACAAGCCATAGATTTTATCAACAGGCAAGTATCGCAAAAAGAGAAAAAAAAAAGAAAAAAAACCTCCAGTGATAAATTCCTGCTGCCATTTCTGTTTACCCGCCCTGAATGCTTACCTTTTTATCTCCTCGCCATAGGTGCAGTGTCCTGAGACAGCTGGGCTGTAAAGATGGAAAGAACTGGAATAGCAAGTATGTAATTAGCTGATATATGTGACACAAGATGAATAACACCCTCTTATCTCTCCTCCCAACCAGATGCATTAGAATTCATTGTTTTAGCCCGGGCAGACAGAGTGCTATTTGCCTTTTCAGTTTGAAGCTCCATATCTTTGTATCCAAGTTATTAATAGACTCATAGCTGGATAAACCCTGGAAATTGAATATTTTGGAGAATTCTAAAAAGAAGGCAGCAAAGGAAAGCTTTTCTCTGAGGTGATATAGTGCGTTGTCACAGGGCACCTTGAGATGTTAAACTTATTTCTGTCTTTGTTGTATTCCACGGTGTGGTTTCTATTCCCACATTAATTTCAACCTATGCACAGAAAGCGCTAATGGCCCTTTTCAAGTTTACCACGCGACACTCGAATCAAGTGCCCCTTATTTGCTTTGTCATTACCATCTCATTTATGCTTATTGATTTTTAATGTGCACATTGTCATGTCTTAACTCCATTTCGCCTGTGCTTACAGTCATGCTACAGACATAATGGAGACTGCAGGCTGGAAGTCAATGATCCAATCCCACCCCCACTTGGTAGCCGAGGCCTTCCGCGCCCTGGCTTCAGCACAGTGCCCACCCTTTGGTCTTCCCAGGAAACGCCTAAAACAGTCCTGACCGCCCGACTGTGCCCCAGGACTTTACTGGAGGTGTGAAGCATGGGTTTACAAAGGAAGGACTAGCGAGGGTACCACTCTTTATTTCCACCAAAACTGAACACACTTGAACACAGAAGAGTGGAGCTTTCTGACCAGGGATTTGGGGAGGCTGGCACTTGGACGACTGACATCAGCAGATCGGGAGGAAAACAATTTGGTAAAAATTGGTGTTGCTTGCTTGCTTTGCTGCCCCAACTGAAATCTGTTCAGCCCGGGTAGCAAGTCAAGCTGTCTGCTACTCTTTTTTCCCCTGTAATTTAAAAAAGGAATGGCCTTACTATATCTGCCATTGCTCTGGAGCTGCTCCGGAGTACTTTGTCTATTTTACTCTGTGCCTGCCTTGTCACAAAGACCAGGCCTCCTCCAGGTTGCACTAGTTCCCATGAATAGTCATTTTGATATGGAGTTCTATAGGAACGTAACAAAGGTTATACTAAATGGGAAATATTATATATTTGTAATGTTTAGCCCGTTTTGTGACTAGACATTAAAAAGCATGAACACTTTCAGTGCAAGGTCAGTTCTTTACACTTTTTAAAAGATGTGTATGCCCCATATTGATGGCACCATTTCTATGTAAATGACAGTTGAACCATCTTCAGAAGACCAGTGTACAAGAAAGTCTGTTCTATTGCGTATTTGTGGGGAAAAGATGTAATCTGCCATTATGAAGTCAACCCTTAAAGTACACGTGAGACGGAAAGTGTCTATACTTTGGCCCTAATATATTAAAACATTGGAAGTATTTACTCAGTCTCCCATCTGAACGGCATATTCCAGATCATACGTCTGTGAACTGTTATAGATTAAATTGAGAATTTCTGTCCTTAGTATCGCCACCTTGCAGATATTATATATTCTCAATATATTGTGGTTAACTAAAACGTGGAGAAACTAATGCATGGTCATGTTATCGTCAAAGAAAGTGTCCAAGTACCAATTTTGTTTTTAACAATTTATTTTTCTGCAATTATCTGACATTTCTGTGCAGAATGACATGGATTGAGTATGTGCAAAAACAATTTCCTCTAACATGCTTGGATATTTGTAGGATGCTGAGCATCACTTCTACTGGCAATGTTATTCTGTGTTTGAATGGGGGGGGGGTTGTCATGTTTATTCAGTCCGTCTCGTATGTAGTGTGGTGTGACCGACACTTCAGAGGATTTTGTAAATTAAAAGAGTAGCATCGTTTTTACATGATATTACTCATCATTCAGAGTCATGTCGAGATGTTGAAACTTCTTTTGTTTGGAAGCAAAAAGATGAAGATGTTGTCTGCAAGAATGCCTGCATTAACCCATTAAACCATTTTCCAGCAGCCTGAAGAAGAGCCTTTTTTTTCTTGTTTGAATCCATTGACAAGACATGAAGGAATGGTGATTATTTTCCAAACTGTTTCATTTTTAATGACCATGTTAATGGACGCGAGTGTCAGGCTGAGGTTATTATTTTTTTCCCTCTCACCCCTTTTTAAATGCAAGATTAGAAAACAACACTGAGATAATCAAAAGAAAATGTGCTCGAACTGGATTAGCATAGTAACATGTTTAATGTTGAACCTTTACAGCACATGAAAGGCCTCTCTTCCTCTTGTGTTATGTGTGAATGTTTCTGCACAGACTCTAATTAAAGTGAACACAGGGCCGCTCTTCCCTGCTGGAACAGAGACGTCTTCATCAGCGGCGCGCTGATCCCCGTCCGCCCCTCTCGGCACAGATCCAGGAAGAGACCCGATACCATCTATGCTTTTAGGATGCCTCTCCAACCTTTTATCTTCCTCTTTCGCTTTCCTCCACTAGCTGTTATGCTTGAAAGAGGAGATGCCTGCAGTGGCGTGGTCACAATTGGAAATGTGTTCTGTCATAGGAAACGAGGTTGTTAAAGAGGCGGTGGACAATTACACTGTGCCAGAACTTTAGATGCTTTAATATAAATGTGGGCATGGTCAAATTGGTCAATTTGTGTGAAAATAGCCCCGTCATATGAGCCCAAATAACAAAGTGTGGCTGCAGAAGAGTGTCCTCACTTAAAATACAGACACCACCATTTCCACCATAAATAACTGATATTTTGAGACAAAGGAATCACTATTTTGTGAAAATATATTTTGAACTCTTGTATGTAGTTTCCTTTTGTATCCCTGAGGATATTTTGACGAAGTTTAGGGTCAGGAAAATGTCAAATCTAGCCATACCTGGGATCTGTACCAGGAGCAGCCTTCATGCATTTGAGCCTATGCAGTAAGAGTGTACTAAATGCATGTCTTGTTGCTGGGTTACTATCAGCTATAAGCAAAGTTTGCCTTTCTAATTCATTTTCTCTTTGTGATTGTTGACTGTCAATCCAGAGATTTAATAAATGCAGCGAAGCTTTACATTTACCTAGGAAATAACATTTTAGCCTGCCGCAAATGTCTCTTAGTACATTTTATATTAAAAAACACTTCAATTTTTTGTATTGGTGTTAATGATATCAGTGTTTAGCATGGGCAATTAGCTAACAAATTGAAAGTAATTTGTTAATTGCGTGCCTAATGATGTCACCACTGAAAAGCATGTTAGCATTCCTCTTTAGTTTTCAAGCATTTGGATGTGTGCAGCAGGGAAGGCCTGGCGTGGTTTGATGGCAGTAGGTGCCTCACCCTGATCAGATAAGAGTAATGGAAGCGATGAAAAGACCCCTGTCCCTGATGGCCACAGCAAAATGGATGTGCTCCCTGAGGTGTACCTCTGGTATCATCCACGCCTGTGGACACAGATTTATTGGCCATTAAAAAGCAACACTGAAATGTACCTCTTAAAATGGCGTGTTTATCCTGTTGAGAAGTCCTTGTAGGAATGAAACGAGACAACTGTGAGCACCGACAGACTGGGGCTGAGTAAATGTGACAATATGCTGTGAGCCAAGTTCAAATAAGGTTTTAATGCCATAAAAACCTAAATTGTTCTTTACAATTCCATTTGAACAAAAAATCAACCCCCTATGAAATCAAATATTCCAGAAAATGAACATTTGTACTTACACTATACACACAGCAGTGCTCTTTTTTTTCTTCTATTTTACAGGGGACACGGTTAAAACAAGGTTAAGCAAGCAGGAAATGAAAGTACAATCTGCAAGAATTACAGAAAAGGATATCAAAGCAATCTATACCTATAATCTATGAATGACATCTATCTACATAATATCGCTTAGCAAACACCAAAAATATGAACAGGATACTTATTGATATATTTCTCTTGAAAAATTATAATTAATTGACATTGTTTACTCCATTAGTAAACACCATTATTTTAGTTACACGTTAATACACAGCATTTGCACAAAGGAGTAGAACTAAAACATCAACATAGACCATCTCGGTTTTAATTATTTCCTTATATCATACTCCTCCTGTGTAAAAAGTGACAGGATAATTTACAGCTGATGGGGGGAAAAAGGTGAGATACAGAGAATAAAAGTAACATTGACAGAAATAATTGCCATGTGATTAGTCAGTGGCACATGCCCTAGTCTAAAAACCCTGGATATACGCAATAAACACAATTTTTGACATTTCATGGGTTGGTGGTTTTCAACAGAACCTTTTTCAAAATGGTTTAAGTGATTGCAAATTCAAAGCACATTTCACCATTTACTACAAGACTGGATGTGATCCACTTTTACACAAAAGTCAGTCAACTTAAGCCTGCTGTACAGTTGGGAAATGTATGACATTTTCACATGTAAGTCCCACTTCTCATTAAAATTCCAGACGGATTTTGTACTTTTCGCCTTTTTTTTTTTGGGTTTCTCCACTCTTAGTCTTAGCTAAATGAAATTTCCCAGGCTAATTAAAGCCTATTAAAGACAGGTAATGTCAGGGCTGGTGGCAGGACCATGACAAAGTGCTGATAATTGTCTGCCAGACTCACTAAATCCACCTGTCCTGCAATTATCGCCTCTCCCCCTCCTCTCCTGACACATTAATCCACTGCGGGGGTCTCTCGGCAGGCTGATGCCTCAAAGTGCATCCTGCAAACACAGATGTTGGATTTCAGACTAATTTAGCATACACATGCCTTGTGATGGTTGCAGCGGAAAACCGACACATTATAAGGAGCACAAAAGGCAGCAGCCAGGTTATACACGGATGGGTACCTACATACGAATGAGTAATGATTTACGATTAGGTTCTCTGCTTGCTGTTGGGATTAGATTTGTTGGAACAATTTATTTTGTCACGGGCACATAATCAATTGACTATTCCAGTCCTTATATAGAAAGACAAGAAATAAAATATAGATTGTGAGGCCATATTTCACAGCTACTTGAGAAAAATTGATCAAGCTAATCTGAATAGACTGCGTGCCTGTGTCCCGTTAACAAGTACAAATGGATATTAGCTCTACTTTCGAAGGCAATGAACACTTCATTTTGTCAAATCAAAACGTAATAATGTTTCAAAGGGGAAATATCTAATTTTATCCCGTGTTCAATTGAAACATCTTGGTAATTATTAACCTGATTCAAAGCCTTATCATATTTCATCCCATAATGGTTTCAGTGAGGTGAGGAAATCAATGTTGGCATCAATGCACTGAAGCTGGCTATGCACTTCCAACTGGGAGGCCCTCCTGCCTATGGACTAGCCTTGAAGAAAACATCTGGACAACATGCTAATTACACCAGCGGTTTACGGAGAACATGTGCTGTTGTGATGGGGAGGAGTCACCCAGGGTTGGTAGCTAGCTCTAAATCCCAAGTCAACCCCTAAAACCAAGTCCCTGAACACCTAACTATCTCAAGTTCTATATACAAAAGTTTATTTTTTTAACAATGCATCAAATCCCTCCAGAATGTGCCCCATTATAAGTTCCCACAACGTGTCTCAGGTATTTAGGTATTTCGGGACAGGGAGCTTAGAGGTTGACATTTACATAACTTTAAGGTTGATGCATACTACCAACAGCCAGATCATCCTGTGGAGGAGTAAGGTTGGTCGCTATGGTAGTTGTAGTCAGGGCATACCTTCTGCACCAGTTTATAGTCTACACTGTAAAAGGCTATATAGATGCATATGACTTTGAAGGGTTTGGAGCACAGCCAGGACACGTGGCTCTGCGTCTGCTCCTGATAGCACACCTTGGACGGGTCGAAGCTACACAGCGCAGTCTTCTTGTTGCGGTCCGTCTTCTCGTACTCGATGCGACAGTTGAACGATTTGGTGTCTTTGGTCTCCAGCGTGGACTGCTGGGCGATCTCGAACTCCACCACCTTGGAAGGCGGCACCAGGCTGACCGACACGTTCCCCAGGCCCGTGGAGTTGTGGCGGAAGTAAACACTAAAAGTGCCGTTCCCGTGGTCCACGATCTTCCCCGTGATCAGCAGGTTGAGTTTGACAGTCTTGATGTTGGAGTGGAAGTCCCCCCACCCGAACATCTTTTTGAACTTTCCGGTCTTGACGATGGGCCTGCGTTTAGTTCTGGCCTGTGCCCCCTGAGCATCTGTCTGGTTAGATAACCAGTCCCAGAAGTCCTCCATATTCTGTAAATATGTTATTTCCCTCATGTTACTCTTGAACCCGGGGGAGCCCTTGGCAAACAAGCGCAGGGGGTTGAGGATCCGTGGACTGGCACCCGTGGGAGAGATCTTCTGTTCGGTGTCAATGTCGGCCCACTCGATGAGCTCTGTGGCTCCTCTGTGCTCTTTCCTGCATGTGACCTGCAGATAAAACAAGAAAAGGTAGACAGAAAAACAACATAAGTCTTTTAAATAAAATGTATTTGTAATGCTAGTGCACAGTCCATAATGCACTTAATGTCTATAGTTTGAAAAGAACAAAAAATGCCTTTCACACACCATATCAGAAAAATCCAAGTAAATTCAACTCTGATTGACAACTGATTGCAGTGTAAAAATGCCACGGTAGCAGTTCAGCACAAAGGAGAAAGAAAACAGCACTTCAGCACAAAAGATGGAGGGCATGGAGCCACCCAGTTGTCACACATGTTAAGATTTACTTTAGGAAACGCTGAACTACAGCAAAGGTACCCATGGGAAACATTGTGTTTGGTAAACGTAAGCTTTGCAACTTCTTCAAACAGACGCTTGCACTTCAATCAGACTGCAGTAGGAGTGCTCAGTCTTTGAGAAAAATAAATGAAGAAACAGCTCAGCAGGGCCACTTCTTTTACACAAATAATAGGGAAACAAGTTTGTACTTTCAATAAAACTTAAGGAAAAATAAATTGCCAAAATTGCCAGTTGTAATTCACTCATCTTTAAATTTGGTTTCCTATGTCAAGAGTCCATAATGTAGACTCTGGTCTACCAGATCGGGAACATTAAAAGGGAATAAACAGCATTCAAGTTCTTTACAAAATACTTGTTAACAGAGCTTTATCAATGCTAAAAAACCCTTACAACGCAACTACTCATTTTTTGTTTTAAAAATACATACAGAATATTTTAAACACCATATTCCAGATACTTTACAAGGTAAAGGTGTAAAGAGTGCTATTTTCTTCTTGATTTTAACGTAAGCTCTGGAAAGTATGTATATTGCCAAGAATGAATGATTGTTCTAAAGATGAACACATCTGCATACCTTTTGCTATTCAACCTAAGCTAAACAAAGCTAAACTAAGCTGAACTAAGCTAAGCTAACCTGCTAGTGTTATTTTAATGTTACCTTAATGTGGAATCTTATCACCTAACTCTTTGAGAAAAAAACAAATAAAGAATATTTCCCACACTGTCAAACCATTTATTAAAACTCATATCAGAGCGTCATGGATGTGTAATGTCAGATGTTAACAACACTTTCAACTTGCTATGTTTAAACCACAAGTTAACTGAGTCACGCCACTCTCTACACAATGAGCTTCGCTTGTCTTACTTTTGAGTTTTGTAACCTATGACAGCAATAAAAAACACAACTATTTGCTATTGAAGCTTCTGGAATGGCTGAAACACTGCCAAGTCTTAAACTCTCTTAAACGTCAGTAAGACAATCCCTTGTTAATTTGATGTTAAGGACGCTTTGGTGTGTGTGGAGGCTGAGGATGCTGGCAGGCCTGTGCAGTACACACAGTTGGCATTCCTTCACAGTACCCAGGATGAAAGAGAAAGGGGCTGAGGTTGGTCAAGGGAGTTTGGATTAAGACAGAAAGGCACATTTGTGACTATGACCCTAAGTTATATGTGGGACAGTTCCACTAGTTTATCAAACCTGAACTAAAAACTATTCATAGATGCTAGCAGCACCAAAGATGGTGAAATATCAAGAAACAGCGTAAAGGAAATCATTTTGGATGCAGCGATGAACTTCAGCTAGGCTCCTACATTTGCATAAGTCTTGTAATATTTAGAGCGACTTGTCAGATTCCATGACAATGCAAATCCCCTGGACTTAACATGTGAGCAGGTCTTACATCAGTCGGGCTATTCTAAGATAAATGAATAAGAACTTTGGCTCCCAACAATAAAACAGGCTTCCACAGTAGCATTGCAAAGTGTAAGTGCTAATCCAGACGCAGCAATGAACTGTGATCCCTCCTTGTGGCTTTTTAGCTTCAGGAGCCATTCCTGGTCCACTTCAGATAAAGCTTTAATAATTCATGGCAATAAGCTTAGCTAGTTTTATTAGTAATTAGTAGTCCCAGCTTTCCCCGGGCCCGGTTGTAGGGATCACTGAGAGAAGCAGATGTTGAAAGCAAGCGGCTGTTTGAGTTCTCACTGAGCTGCACTTGCAGACTAATTATAATTTCGCTGTGAGCCTAACTGAGGCACATGTGTACAAAGCTAACAAACTAGGTCTTCCTGCTACGATTTGTTTTGTCACATTCCTATAAATCTCCCTAGTCGGCTGGTAAAAGGTCTAATAATTAGAGCTTTTTCTCTACTTGGCTGCTTAAGTCCCACACCGTAGTAACACAGGACGTAATGGCTCGGCTATCTGGGTATGTAATGTGAAATCAATGCGTCTCCCACGGACAGTGAGCCTGACCCATCCATCAGCCCTCACCAAGCTTAATTAAGACAGTTGCTCCCTGTAAACAGGGATGAATGAGGCAACACTGTAATAATGTCCCTCTGCGTGGCTCATCACATTCACCGTCGTTTAATCAACCAATTCCAGTGGCACTATTCCCTCACGGATACTGCCACTTAGTAATACCTCTTGTGAGTTCAGCCGTTAATTTGATTTGACTCTTACAACACCACAATAACAGGCGATGCCGGAAAAAACATTAAAATCGGTGGGACTGCGGGCTCCCAACAGGACCATTTCCTCACTGCTGCAGCAAAGAGGACGTAGCACCCGTCTTCCCACCAGCCCCAGCCGTTATATCCGTTACACATTGGGTGTCATGCTGCGCAGCTTAAGGGGTGAAACCAAATGTTGTCGTTCAGTGTAAATCTCAGGTGAGCTTTGTATAGGGTGATTATAATGGAAATGAGAGAGGAGTTTAAGTATGATGAGCAACTGGGGAAATTGCTGTGACAACAAGGGGATCAGCATAGGGATATCTAATACTTATATGCCCCGAGAGAGATGAAGCACGGGGAACTTGAAAGCTCGCACTGACACACTGGCTTTGGTTTCCTTCTCCCTCGCTGTCTCCGTGCACCAACACACACCTCGTTAATTTAGGCGGAAGTGGTGTCTCCTTAAAACACACTAAAGGAATATGAGTTTTTGTATAACGCAACGCTGTGGAGAGAAAAAAAAAAAAAAACTGGCAAGGTCTGATGAAGGAGAATCAACAAAAGCTTAATTAAGATTTCTTAATCGCTGCTGCCGGGCTAGAGGCGTTTCGGGGCGACTTGAAACAAGACATTATTATGATAATAACTGCAGACTTATGGAGCTGAAAACACCAGACCTCATTTCAACAAGCACTAGGCAAAGTGACGTGGATATCTGTCTGTGGTTTAGCTTCTTCCTTTTCTACTAGTACATCCATAACAAATACAGAGAGGTGCATTAACCTTCCACTCACAAGCAAAGATATTACAAGAGCAGTCAAAGGTGTATGTGGCTTATAAAAGAGAAGTGATACAGCTGAAAACAAAAAGTGGATTTTGTACACTTTACTGTTAGTTAATGTACAAATAATAATAATCAATTTACATGACTGTGTACAAGGTGTGCTGACTGCTGTTGTTAATTAGTTTTGCAAAAGCTATGGGATTTTAAGGATTGTTCACACATTTTACACCATCATTTCAATTCAGATACAGAATTGTCTGAAAGTAAATTCAATACATTATAAAACGAAGACCTTGGGAAAGCTGGCATCATTATTTTATGATAGGCAGATGTTTTAACCAAAGTTTATGAAATAATAAAATGCAAGTTCTATTGAGTTTGGGAAGGTTCGACCTAAAAGTCTAGATGTCACTGACAGGCTTTCACTTATTAAATCAGTATAAAATGCACATTATTTATACTTCTATACGTCTGCAGCCTTTTATCTTAGGTTACAGGCAATTATTGTGCAAAAATATCTTCAAACTGGATCAAATTGTCATATTCTTTTAACACTGTGTCAAAAGCACATTCACAGCTCAGCAAATCTTTCTGTCCATGCATTAATAACATGGAATTTACTTTCAAATATTGTTAACGTTGAAGTATTTTACAAACTGTAAAGTATGTTGATTTACATTCATGTTTTTTTTTTAATCTTCTGTGTTCTAAATACCTTCCTGGCTGAATAAAACATGCACAAAAATCTTTAGAGAATCCTAAGAGCATGATCAAGTCTCTCCTCACGCTACATGCATCATATATTTGATTTCCTGTTATGTCTATCAATACCAGAAGTATTAGTGGAACTAAGATACTGACAGCGGTCTGAGCAGCAGCGAGCCACACGCAGAGTCAGGATGAATCAGACTCCTCATTCATCTGTAATGAGCATTATGGAGCTGGCTGCCCGCTTGTCCCGTGGGTAGACATATCTTTTAGAGGCCTGACATAAAGGTAATTGCCACAGTGACCAGAACTAGCCTCTAGAAAGTTATTAAGAAGCCAGTGACATCTGGCTTGTGGATCATCTGAAGAGATGCCATTAAAATGTGTTTTCAGCGAGCAGCCGGCGACGTTGTGCACGGCCGCGATGGTTTCTGGGCCACGGGCAAGGCTACAGTGATGTGTTGATGGAATCTCTCTTAAACCTGGCATAGTTGACACGTGGCCCTGACTTTATCTTTTTTCTGTTCTGCGTGTTATCCTCTGTCATCCTCATCACCGAGCACCTCGTATCGGTCGGCTAAAATAATTTGTTTTTTTTAGTTTTCTAGGGTTGAGTTTTTTCCAGCACATAAGGTCGTGATATGCGTCGGGGGAAAATTGGTTTCAGGCATCTTCCTCACAATAAACAAAATGGGCAATTAACCTGCTCATCAGTGCAAGCAGAGCTATTCCAAAGATGCACTCCACTGTTCTTCATGGATTTATCTGTGCAAATTGACCTCACTTTGGTGGTGCAATTCATTTCTCTGCTAATTTTCTGTGTCTGAAGCTTCATTAACTTGATGCGCTTCCACGTAGTAAAAATCTGGACGCCCCGTGGAAATTACACCGGCTCCCCCACTGCCTAACGGTAACACTTCCTCAGCATTACTGCAGCACAACACCTGCCATATTAGAGCCGCTCGACCGCTATACTGCTAGCATTAGATGGTGAATTGAATGCAGCCTCTTGCTCCCA